CCAATACAGGGAATATGAAAGAAGGCACAGATTTCAGGTGTGAAGAACAATGAGTTCAATCCCAGACATGGTAACCTGAACTGACTGTGGGACATCCAGGAGGCAGCTGCTACGGGGCTAAAGCTTAGGAGAGAGTTGTGGGAGTTGGATGCTACTTGATAAGGTGGATGCTAAGGTGATGTCTGAGCAAGTTCCTAGCCAATATGAAAAAGCAGGCCCTGAGGGAAGAACATGTGAGTGAGATGTGGAAAGAAGAAAAAGCTTGGAAATTTCCTAAATCCAAGGGATGAGCAGGGCAAAAAAAAGACTGAAAAGAAGAGGAAGACTCACGAACGATTCTTCTAATAAAGTACCATAAAAACTAAAGAAAAAAACAAAAATATGAATGACATTGAGATGAGGAAAATATACCATCATCCATAGGGAACAGGCTTAGAGATAAGAAATAAAGGGCAGGAACAAAAGACACATCTCAATAAAAAGTAGCATTCCCTAGAATAGTGTTTTAAAGTTTACTATTTGAAAGAATTACCTAGAAGAACTGCATAATGAAATCTCCAAGTTTATAAGGGCCAAAGGCTCTTTTCCTTATCAAGAAGAAGCCTCAGAAAATTGTTATATAGTAGGTAAGAAAATATTTTTCTTTCTTTTTTTTTTTTTAAATGGAGTTTCATTCTTGTTGCCTAGGCTGGAGTGCAGTGGCACGGTCTCGGCTCACTGCAACCTCCACCTCCCAGGTTCAAGTGATTCTCCTGCCTCAGCCTCCCGAGTAGCTTGGTGTAAATTACAGGTACCCGACACTACGCCCAGCTAATGTTTGTGTTTTTAGTAAAGATGGGGTTTCACCATGTTGGTCAGGCTGGTCTGAAACTCCTGACCTAAAGTGATCCACCTGCCTCGGTCTCCCAAAGTGTTGGGATTACAGACGTGAGCCACTGCAACTGGCAAGAAAATATTTTTCAAGGAAAGAAATCAGAACATAATCTGGCTTCAGCAAAAAATAATCCAGAATGCATTTTGCAAATAAATTTCTGGCCCTAAGTTTTCAGTAATTAAACCCAAAGAGCCATTTTAAATCACATCAATTTTGGGCTTAAAGAAAGTGAGAGACATCCATTTAATCCAGATCATAGATATGAGAACTACTTTGGAGAGTTTGTTAAAATGCACATAAACTGAGTTATCCAAGACCTATTGAATCAAAATCTCTTGGTATGCAGTCAGGAAAAATTCTCTGCTTCTTGAAATGTCTAAAACAAGGTTACCAGATGATTCGTGTGCGCACAGTTTGAGAACTCCTAATGTATCTGCTCGGGAGACCAACGCCAAGAAAAAATAAATGGCTTGCACAATAGTACATATCAGAATCACCTAGAGAAGGGGTCCCTAACCTCCGAGACCCAGACTGGTACCAGTCTGTGGCCTGTTAAGAACCAAGCCTCCAAGCAGGAGGTGAGCAGTGGCTGAGCATTACTTCCTGAGCTCCACCTCCTGTTAGATTAGCAGTGGCATTAGATTCTCATAGGAGCGCAAACCTTATCATGAAATGAACATGTGAGGGATCTAGGTTGCACGTTCCTTATGAGAATCTAACTAACGCCTGATGATCTGAGGTGGAACAGTTTCATTCTCAAACCACCCCCTCCCCATCATCCATGGAAAAATTGTCTTTCACAAAACCAGTCCCTGGTGCCAAAAGGTTGGAGACTGCTGACCTAGAAGGCTTGTTAAATATAAATTTCAGCCAGGCACAGTAGCCCACGCCTGTAATCCCAACACTTTGGGAGGCTAAGTCAGGCAGATTGCCTGAACCCAGGAGTTCAAGAAGATGGGGCAACATGGTGAAACCCATCTCTACAAAAAATACAAAAATTAGCCAGGCATGGTGGCAGGTGCCTGTCATCCCAGCTACTCAGGAAGCTGAGGTGGGAGGATCGATTGAGCCTGGGCAGCCAAAGCTTCAGTGAGCCAAGAACATGCCACTGCACTCTAGTCTGGGCAATCAGAGTGAGGCACTGTCTCAAAAAAACAAAAACCAAAAAAAACAAAACTCTGAGCTCCACCCTCTGAGCTTCTGATTCAGCCCAAGAATTTACATTTCCAACAAGTTCCCAGGTGAAGTTTGCACTGTTCATCTGGGGACCACACTTTGAGAACCTCTAGTCTAGACTAGAGTTGTTAGACTTTTCTCTGAGTACATCAGTTCAGTGTGGCACTACATACTTAAAGACCAAGACAAGGGTATTTCAAAAAGGATGTTAAAAATGAAATGGAAAACATGACCAAACATAAATTATACATATTTATTTTAAGCCATTCTGGTCAATTAGAACAGAAAAAAAAAAAAAAAAAAAAAGCTGGAAAAGATCCAAACTATGCTAGAAAGAAATTATAAGGGTCATAGAATATGTGAAAAGACCAAAATGGATGAATTAATTAAAAAGACTAAATTTACAAAAGAAGGCAGAGATAGATAATCTAAAAATTGATAAAATTATGAAAAGATATGTGCAAAATGAACAAATTTCAGATTTACAGCGTTATGCAGGTGGTTTGATTATTTGACCCAAACAAGTCACTTTTGGGGTATCTTTTTGTGTTATTTACTAAAACAGTTTTGGGGCTAGATTTTTATTCAAAGCCACTTTTGAAAATGGTTTCCCACTGGCTCCCCACACAAAGCCAGGGAAGCCACAGAGAAACACTCCTCACTCACCATCCCAATTCTGCATGACTCAGACATTCTCGGCATTAAATTAGAAAAGACAGCCTTCTAATGCTGCCATAACTGCTATTCTTTTCTCATGTAGACGACTTTTAACCCTGAAATAGCATATTCAAATATACAATTCTCTCAACAGCTCAGAATACCTGTAATTCCCTCTATCCACCTGCTATTTGTCTCACTGTTCTGAGAACACATCCAAATTTCATATCAGATGAATTCTACTGACAGCCTCTCCTCAGAACTATCATACACATTTTGCATCATACTGTCTTCAAGCTTCCAGAGTCCATCTTCAAACACATTTTCCACTTGGGTGGTCCTTGTTAGGCTACCTTTAGTATCCAGCATCATTTCCTCGGAAGAAATCAATACACCCAAGTGTTAGATCCTTTCATTATCCAAGTCAGTCCTACAACCACCTAAGCTACTCCCTCTACCTTCTTAGTATCCTTGCCAGGTCTTCCCGTTTACATATATTTGCTTTTGTACTCTTCACATCCCACTCCCAAAGTCTCCTGCACAACTCAAAATAACCTCACATCTAAGGCAACAATATTTGGTTTCTGACCTTTTCCAAACCAGTATAAATATCATTCTATCACTCATGCTGCTTTCTAGAAGAGGCAAGAACATGTTCCAAACAACTTCTGCTGTACAGACAGGTGAATGGTTGTAAATTATTCCCAGGATTCATGAGTGGCTATTTTTTTATCATAAGAATGTTGATTCTGCTTAGGACCTTGAAATTAAAGCTCCCTTAAACATCAGATGATCTCTCATTGGTTGGAGTTAACTGGGAAAAAGCCCTGTAACAGGGGATACACACACACATTCCGACCTTAAGACCAAAACTCAGAGTTCGTCAGAGTCAAATCCCAAATTTAAAAAGTCATTACCCAACAAATGACTAACATAAAACTTAAACATAGGCTCAATGTCTATTAACAATTATTAAATCTTAGTCTAAAATGAGCTCCAAATTTATGCAATACCACTTTGTTCCTGAAATATCTTAATTAGAAACAGAACTTCATGAGAATTCCTACACGGACATAAAATAGCTATTTATGATTATCAGCTTTTCTTTTCCTTATCTTAAACTGTCTCTAAAATGATAGACTTGGAAGAGTAGGGGGAAGGGAAAGTTAGGGAGAGATTTCTTAAAGGACACAAAACTACAGCTAGATAGTTAACTAGTCATTCTACCATGGTATAGAACAGGATAACTTATTCCTCTTATCTAGCTCTAATTTTGGATCTGTTAACAAATCTTTCCCTAAGCCTCCCTTCCCCACACTCTTCCCAGAAAAGCACATAATCATAAATAGCTGTTTTGTGTCTACACAATAACTTGCACTAAATTTTTTAAAATACAATGATCCTAGGTAGAGGTCTGATTTTACTGGACCAGAATGTCAATCTCTATTGACATTCACTTGCAATATGCAGATTCCCAAGTCCTGCCCCTACCATTCTGATTCTGATTTTGACACACTAGTTTCAGGCCTACTAATATGAAATTTTTAATGTGTATTTTAAACAAGCACTCTAGTAACACTTTGGGAAATATTGCAAAACACCCCCCCCACCCCCACAAGAAGATCATTTATAAGAGGCAAATTATAAAGCCTTAGAGGTATATCTAGTAAGGAAGTTTCTGATTAACATAGGAACTCTTCTACGATACTAACAGATTGACTTACTGATTTTAATAAGAAAGAATATCAACATTTATACAGTCAAATAAATCGTATATGCCTCTGTAAATTATGAAGCCTGATCAATTATTTTAACAATACTACCATTACTTGAAACTCAGAGTCACTTCTTAGAATTTATTTTCAATACAGTGTATGAGTCTTCAAATTACAAATTACAAAAAGGAAAACTGGTTTCCTTTTGTTATTGCTCCTTCTTGGTTTTGATCAAAATTAGAGAACCCCAGGTATGATCATCACCCAAGCTCTAAATGAGTTTAGACTATTTTCTAAGTATATCCTTACAAGGTTGATATCTGCCACTAGAGAAAACAGGATGCTTAGAAGAATGCTACCAGAGGGTCAAGATGCAGTTCTTAAGAAAAGATTTTTTTAATGCTTTGCATAGAGGATAGAGTATAGCCTCTCCCTAAGACATTTTAAACGAGACAATGTTCACTTGGATGTGTAAGTTCAAGTAGATTTGCTTTAAAAAAAAAAAAAAAAAAAAAGTATAACATATTACTGAGCGCTACTGAACACATGTCAATAATAATGAGAAAAGAAGACATTACCTGGGGCTGCTGTCTTCAATAACCTACTGCTGGGTTGTATTTGCTCACTTCACTCTTCAGAGGAGCGGAAAGATTTCTCTAACATTTAGCTCTGCTGGAAACCCCTAGAAGAAGACTTCAAAAACCTGTGAAGAGGAATAAAAATAATAATTAATAAACTGCAAAATCCAATCTGAGTATCTCTACTTTTTCTCCGCTCCCATTTACCACTACATGTTGTACACTGAGTGGGTTCTCCCAGTGTGCATTTGTCTTCACCATAAAAAAATAAATAAATAAGCAAAAAGCAAATCTTTATTTAGAAATCTGAATGCTAGCCAAAAATGAGAAACTCCTGCTGGGTAACAGAAAATAGAAAAGGATTCTTCCATCTTATAAGAGATGTCAAACAATTATGTGCTTCTTTTAGGAGTGAAAAAAAGTGTGAAAGTAAATCCACATCCATGGGTCAACAGCATCATATTAAGATAATAATGATAGCATAATATAAAATAGCAAAGAAAGGAGCACAAAAAACTTTTTATAAACAATTTCAAAAAATGTACAATATTCCCAAATATTTCCAAGTAACTCTGACCTCTCTAGATAATGACACTCTGACCTCTCTAGATACTGACAATTCAAAGTTCAGGTTTTTGCCACCCAATGGGCAAAGTCTACTTTGGTCTTAGACACACATCTCCTATCATCAGGTCTAACTGGCAAGATCTGATGTGTCACGTAATGCCTATCCTACAACCAGAAAAACATGAGCTTGAAGAGAAGGAGGCTGGGAAATTATCCTACCTGGGAGAAACACAGAACAAAACCTAGAGGTGTCCAAGAGAGCAATAAGAACATCTAGAGAGTCTAACCCTTAGCAGTTAGCCAGAAGCTAACATAAATACTAAACAAAACCACAAAGCCACTATTCGATATCACAATAAGTGGAAGCCAGAGAAAATGTCCAAGAGGGTACATTTTTTAAGGAAATAATAAATACTATACTTAAATTTAAAACACAGAAACAGGCTGCTATGCCTATGGAATAGCCATTCTTTTATTCCTTTACTTTCCTAATAAACTTGCCTTCACTTTACTCTATGGATTTGCCCCCAATTTTTTCTTGCGTAGGTGCAAGAAGCCTCTCTTAGGGTTTTAAAAAAATAAAAAATAAACATGGAAACGATTTAAATGCCAATAACTGAGGAAGTCAGTTTGTCACAAACTGTACATTTGCCACAACCACATAATTTACTTAATCAGAATTCTGTCGGCCATTAAAAACTTTTTATTCCGTAATATGTATATATAAATATACTTCAAAACATCAAGCTGTACATAATACATACAATTTTAGGTCAATTTTTTAAGTAATTTTTAAATAAAAAAGAAAGATGTTATGAGTTATGGGAAAATGTAGTTTATAATACAAAGTGGAAAGAAAAAGCAGAGTACAATGTTGTAATTACATATGATCACAACTACTTATGCAAAAGAAAAAAATAAGATGCAATTTCTTCTGATATACTTACAAATAATAGGTAAAATAGTTCCTATCTTTAGATGGGTTGAGGGGAGCAATTAAAGTCAGAGTCTTGTACAACAAATATGTCTTTTTGAAATCTCTATACAGCCATGATTTCTCAAGCCCCAAAGGGTAAGCTACTCATTCACATAATTTTTCTGCAACAGTCCAATATAATAAAAGATGGCCCTAGAAGTCTTTACAAAAGGTGTTGTGTATGTGTGTTTAACCTATGTGTGCATGTGTGTCAAAGGCTTAGAATGTACCTTTTCTTATAACAAATATTTTGTGAAAAGAAAAAAATGGGGGTAGGGGGACACAATGTGACCTAAATCTTCAAAACTAGACACAGGAGTAACAGTGGCCAGGCATGAGAAGAGTGGAGTATGAAAAGTAAAGGATAACGTTCTGCATGCAAAAAACAAATTCTTCATATTCAAATTTCCTCAATACCCTCAAATCAGCCTTCTTCGCTCTAATCAATTAATCATTTATTAACCACCTGGGAACTACTAGTATCACCTCATAACAAAATCTCAGGCCATTTAATCGCAAGAGGTTTTACAAGTAACAGAATTCTCCTTTTTCCATACCCCACATGAACAGTTTTATCATCACGTGCTGGAGAGATACAGGCTCTTTTACCTCCTCTTAAGAATTACAGATTGCTGCCAGATGCTCTTCAGGTGATTTCAAGGCTTTTCTCATCTTGCAACTTGTGAATTATGAAAGGGCATCCCTAATTCATGAGAAATACTTCTCCCATCTCAGTGTCCATTATCATATATCCTCCCCTTACACTCTACAATTTTAGGCACTCGCACACATATGCTTTTACTTAGGTAATGAGGCATTGCTGGGTATCAGTTAAGGGCTTTACTAAGAACCACTCATATTTTACCATCATGATTCCTCCAGCAGCAACGCTTCATGACTTCAAAGGAAGCCAAGTCCTTTGACAGTAATGCACAGAATGACACCGAAAGCAAGGTTAAATGGAACTCAAGTAAATTGAAAGAACTCTCTTAAAATTCATGGTTCTTGATAATTCTCTTGGTTGTCATCTCATTTAAAAACAAAATATGTCTCCTGCTAAAAAGGGGGGAAGTTGGCAGTTAATGATTCAGTCACACTCAAATCTCTCCCCAGGCAAATGCTTTCCTTCTAACAAAATATTCTACCTCCACATAATAAAATCAAATTCAGGCTCACAGTCCTTCTGTGTAATAGCTATATCACATCCCTAATTTCAACAGAGGAACAAAATTTAAAGCTCATTTCCAGATGGCATAAATTCAGTGAATTTAGACCTCTACTATGTCAAGTTCAGAAATACGCTAATAGGCAGAGAGTACACAAAAGCACAGCAAAACCACCAAATGAACACTTTGTTGGGGTGGTGAGAAAGAATTAATATCCACATCATGAATTTCTCCATACACCAGAGAAACAAATGGGGGTGGGGTGCACATTTATACAGGAGGTGTGGATTATGCATAGCATTGTATTAATTGATCTGTAATATAATCAAACACTTTCCTGGAGGATAATTAACCAACCAACCAATGAAGAGAGAAGTTTCAAACAATTCAACAAGTTTTCAAATACATGAAGCTGACTATGAGCTAATTATTGAATAATTTCATTCTCAAAAAGGATTGAATTGGGACAGGTAATACATTACATTCACATGTGGAAACTCCCATAGTAGAACAAAATATTCTACACAGGTCTACAAACTTCACTGATTCTATTAAGCACGCTAATAATAACTTAAAGTCTTAAAATGGATGAACCCATACTGATCACTTAAATGCAATCCCTGAGTTTTAAAGAGGATAAAACTGAAGCACAGAGATGATGAGTGACCTGTTCAAAATTAAGTTGTGGTAAAAGATGAAGACAGAGGTAGAAGCCATGTCTTCTAAGTCTCACAGTAATACTGTCTTCTCCACATTAAGCTCACAATTCCTCAACAATGTATCCATTAAGTTGATTTCATTCCTCCTCTCAACAGTAAACCTTCTAAAGCTTTAGGAAAAGTTGAACCAAATGAAGCTTCAATCTTTAATTTCCATTCAATCAATCCCTGAGATTTCACATTAATTACATACAATTCATTTTTACCCAAGAAACTCAGTGTAATTTGGGTGACTTTGGGAGGGTCTCAACTACAAAACAAATTCATGAATTGGTGCATACCACGAGGGAAGGAAAAAAAGCAGGCAGAGACCACAAGTATCTTAGAAATACACCAAGAATACTGACTTATTAAAATGAATAATGAAGGTGAATGAAACCAAATTCTAGTATTAAAGCGATGTTTCCCAATGTGACAACTACTCATAAGGTGGTTTTTTTAAGTAGTCATTGTTTAAGGTTCTGTAGTTAAATAAATTTGGGAAAATGCCACATTCTAAATGTTCTTCTTGAATATTTACAAAGCACAGTATGTGTATTAAGGCTCTAAGAAGGCCTTGTAGAAAATAAGTTTGCTTAGTTTTGTTCAGCCCAATATTATTTGACATCTTTGGTTTGCAGAGCTAGTATTGACAACCTCCAAGAAACATACTTCAGGAAGTATATACAGCATTCTTGGTGAAAAACCCAAGTCTGACACTCAATAAGCAGTATTTATAATGAGATGACCTCCCTCCTCCAGACTCAGCTGTTAAAAATCAACTTGTGAGGCAAAGGAACTTTGTTTTTACAATGAAAATCGCCACCACCACGAGCATGTACTAAGTGCTAAGAGCAAGGCATGTGCTACGTGCAGATTTTTTTTGAAATGAGGCTAGGCATGTCTTCAGCCACCAAGTTAGCTTTCCCAGAAATTGCACCTTTTCATAGATAAACAAAACATCTTGTATAAACCTTTTTTACACGAATAAACATATTACACTATTTTATACATTGGCAATGTTTCCAAATTGGTACATAAAGAGAATTCACTGGTGTGAATTTTTATGACCGCACATTTTCAAGTGTACAGCAGTAACATAATGTATTGATTCAGTATCCCATTATGAGCATTAGGGTGTTCCCAACCTTTAACCATTATAAACACTACTACAATGAGTACCTTTGTACATAAATAATTTTCTCATGCATATAATAAGTATGTACAGTATAAGCAGAATACATTCATAGTTTGTATGAATGTTTGTATGTCTAGGACTGTGTTTTTGTATCTAGGATAATTTTCTAAAATTGAAATTCCTGGACAAAGCAATACGAAATTTTTCATATTATAGATTTTGCCAATTGCCCACTAAATAGACTAACGTTTTGCACCTATACACTCTACAGAACAGGTTATAAGACTGTAATCTTCATCCATCTAACAGTGATAAATGGTACCTCACTGTAGTTGTAACGTGCATATCTGTGATAATGGGTGAAGTTAAGCATCTTTCCGTATGTTTAAAAGCCACTGTTATTTCCCTTCCTTTAGACTATTTATATCCTTAGTCCACTTTTCTTCTGGGTTGTTGGACTTTTTCTTATGGATTTTTAGGAGCTTTTTGTTAAGTAAATTAGTCCCTTCAAGATTTGAGAAGTAAATATTTTCCCCAATTTTCTTGTTCCTTGAAGTATGCAGAAGCTATTCAGGTTTTT